CGCATGCGCAATCGACCCAATCACATACAAGACGGCATAGTTACACTGACGCTTAGAAGAGCAAGCAAGACAACGTGAGCATTGAAAGGCAATAATAAGTTCTTAGGAAGGGGGCAGTCACCGTATGGCCTTTACTGGCAACTAGTTACATATGCTCAAGTATCGGTCTCGATGAATCTATCTGATTCGCGATCTACTTTTCGTGGCTTAGTTAAGTCATACGACTGTTGCGGGCAATTGTGAGGTAACCTGAACCTGCGGACCGCGCATAGACGCGACAGGACCATGTTTTACCCCCGCTTCGGCGAGCCCGAGGCAATGACCTGCGCCGCCAGGCGCTGGCCAACCAATCACGATTCCGCTTCCGGCGCTTTCATGCCATTGCAATTGCGCCTTGTGGAATGCAGCTCTAGGAAGTGGAAAAAGCACACATCTGCCAAGCCGCTCTACCGCTTTTTGACAAACACCGCCACTGCAGTCTATGTCTTCGTATCATTCACCATCCCTTACCGAGCAGGTGGACAGACTCATGCCAACCCGTGAGACTGGCCGGACTCCCAGTAGCTGTGGCTGTGGGTGTGTGGGGATGGGGGATCGGGAGGATTCTGGCTGCATGTACGATACTCCGTAGGTCTGAGCCTCCGAGGCCTCTTCTAGCATTGATGATAGATGTTCCGACAGCAGAAGGCAGCTATGGTAAGCACAGAAAAGGGGGACGCCATGGACATATGTCATGTACTTAGGTAAGTTATGGGGTAATTTGGTCTCCCCATACGGTAGGCGAAGCGAAGGCAAATCAGCAGTGCCCTATATCTTTTCCAGTTGTGATCTGACCTTGCTTACTCTCTCCTTCTTCTTCGACTACCAGTAGCAGGAAAGACGGTGAATAGGAAACGACAGCTTCGTCGGACGCCTTACACCAGAGATCAGCGAGAACTCAGCACAGGCAACCACGGCAGGTGCAATCAGGGGTGACAAGATGACTAAGAGCGATCTCGATATCCGTCTGGCATATCGACCCCTTCCCGGCACCACGGGCGATCAGGAAGACGAGCTTTCCGATACCGACTACGACGTCGTATCTATCAACTCAGCAGAAACATTAGTGGACGTCAGAGAGCCCGCCGTGTCTATACATCCACTCAAGAGCCACGATGGAGCCATCGTACGGGTTCAGCCGCCCATGCTGCCGTCGAATCGGGACCTTGCTCATGTACCATGCGACATGGTCCTGGTAGTTGATGTGTCGGGAAGCATGGACACGCCGGCTCAAATTACCCCAAGCGAGGACTTGGAAACCTTCATCGAGGACTGCGGCCTGTCAATTCTGGACCTGACCAAGCACGCGGCCCACTCCATTGTTGAGACTCTAGACGAAGGGGACAGACTGGGAATTGTCACCTTTAGCGCCGAAGCAAAGGTGTCGTAACTTTATGCCAGGTCCCGGCGGCTAGCGAGCATCTGACTTATACTGTCCTAGGTCGTCCAGGAGCTCACACCAATGAATAAGGCCAACAAGGAGTTAGCCCGGCAGAACATTGATAGCATGACGCCCGACAGCCTCACGAACTTGTGGCACGGGATCACCAAAGGCCTTGGCCTTTTCGAGGGCAACGATAATACAGGGCGCGTTCCAGCTGTCATGATCCTCACTGACGGGGCTCCCAACCATATGTGAGCGGGAGAAGCGATACACTTGCATGACATGTGCTGATTCAGAACTGCCGAAGGTGTCCGGCCAAGGGTTATGTACCCAAGATCCAATCGATGGGCCCGTTGCCAGCGACGATACACACGTTTGGCTTTGGTTATACCATCAGGTCCGGTCTGCTGAAGTCGATATCCGAGGTTGGGGGCGGGAACTACGCCTTTATCCCGGATGCTGGCATGATAGTGAGGATCGTCGTGCCTGTGTCGACTTTCGATATAGCTAATAAGACCCAGGGCACGGCTTTCATCAACGCAGTCGCGCATCTGCAAACGACGTTCGCCACCAACTGCACCCTGGAAATCCAGATACCGCCAACCAGTGGGTTGAGAACAGCAACAGAGGGCGTCGGCGAGAAAAGGGTAGGATCATGGCCCGGTCACAAGGAGCTGACCATCAAGCTCGACAACTTGCAATATGGCCAATCGCGAGAAATCTGCCTCGTCAATGTAGACGATGGCGGCCATACAGTAGAGTTGGACGACACTGCCTGGAAGGTACCGTTCAGCATGACGCTCAAATATTCACTGATGACCGCGGCTCGATACACCGTCCGCCTAGACCCGAAGCTCAGAGACAGCTCGCCCCTCCCCGACCACATCGCCGCCTACCACCTGAGCCGCTCCATGCTTTGCAACTTTCTCTACTCCATCTTCTCGGACGCTACGGCCCCGGACAGCCCGTGGCGGCCTGGACCGACGGCGGGCGGCTTCGACGAGCACGCAGCCCAAGGCAAGCTCCAGAACCTGCTGCACGACATACCTGCCCAGCGACACGGCGACCCTCACAACCAGTCCATCATGGCGGACCTCGTGGGATGCGACCCCGCGGGCCAGGTCAGCCTGGCCGTCTCGACCAGATCCTACTTTGAGCGTTGGGGACGGCATTACTACCTCAGTCTGTGGAACGCCCACGTCAAGCAGCTGTGAGTTGTCACCTCCCCACTTTTACCCCCTTCTTCCGCTTGTCCCACCACCCTTTCTATATCACTCGGGCCCCTGCCAGTCCAAACCCCAACCCTTCCCTCACCTCCACTAAGCAACTAACCTTCGCGACCCCGGCCCCCCAGACGCAACACCTTCAAAGACCCGGGGCCCCTGATGTACAACACCAACGCCTTCTTCGACCGGTGCCAGGCCGCCCTAGACGCCGCCTTCGACACCCTCCCGCCGCCCCGGCCCTCGCACCCACCCGGCGGCGGCGGCGGCGGTGGTGGACGATCCCGCCCGGCAGCTGCTCATCATCATCATCATCAGTCGGGCTCCTACATGGGCCAGCTCTTCAACCGCGCCGGCGCCGGCTGCTTCGCGGCCGGCTGCGCAGTGGAGCTCGCTCCTCACGACGGCGACGGAGGCCGAAGCGACGGGATGAACACGGTGCCGCTGCGCGCGCTGCGGGCCGGCGCGCGGGTGCGCACGCCCGCCGGCCCGCGCCGCGTCGTCCGCGTGCTGGCGTTTCGCGTGCGCGGCGCCGACATGTGCCGCGTTGTTGGGAACGGGACCGGGAACGGGAACGGGGACGGGGACGGGGGGCTGCTCGTCACGCCGTGGCACCCGGTCATGGTGCGCAGCACGGGCGAGGGAGGGGACGAGGACGGTGGTGTATGGCGCTTCCCGGCCGACTTGATGATGAAGAAGAACAAGAATTCCAAGATGACGAAGGAGCAGCAGCCGGCCGCCACGCACTGCCGCTACACCGGGACCGTGATCTCGGTGCTGCTGCAGCCGGACGACGACCCGGCGGCGCACGCGGTGCGCGTCGGCGGCGTGTGGGGCGTCACGCTGGGCCACGGCATGACGACGGCGGCAGCGCCAGCGCCAGCGCGAGTCCGACCATCGTTGGGAGAAGTAGTGGCTGAGGAAGATGAAGATCAAGATGAAGATGAAGATCAAGATGAAGATGAAGAGGAAGACGAAGACGAAGAGGAAGAGACAGAGGAGGGGGACGCGCGCGCGCACCGCTTCCTCGGGGACTACGCGGCGGTGCAGCGGGCGCTGGCGCGGCTGGGGCCGCCGACGGCGAGGGGCGTGGTGAGGGCCGCGGGCGTGAGGAGGAGCAAGGCGGACGGCGTGGTCTGTGGGTTTGTCAAGGTCGAGGGGGGGCGCCGCGGTCGTAGTCGGCGGCTGGGGGGGATGGGGCGTTGGAGGAGGTGGCGCGTGGTATGATAAGTACCGTATTTTACGCGCTGCTCGGTGTTGATATTACTTGCAGTACATCCTGGAGGTGAGGAAACCCGGACTTCGGTTACCGTGTTGAGGTCGTCGCCTCTGGTAGCCAAGCAAGAGCCTCTTAGGTCTTACCTACTAGGTAGTAGAAGCGCGATCAAGTATAAGACTGTTGATATTCCAATGGGCTGCAGCGAGTGATGATGTAATTCCCGACGCGAAAAACGGCTCCTCCCGCTGTCTCGGGTTCTTTGTTGTAAGCCAGGTCGTTTGGCGCCAGGCTATATGCGCTTTCGGAATGTCACTCGTCATAGACTAGACGCCAAATATGTTCCCCGGCCCAATGAGGACCCTATACAATATAAAGTCCAGATTGGCCCACCGAAGGCTGGCAAAGTAGATCCGCCTTATCCTCTACACGCCTACATGTATAGATCGCCCTCGATTGTTAAACTACGGTATATATCTAAGCCGACTCGAGTAGCCTTTCACACCCAGACAGTATTCAGAATGCCTTCCAGCAAGGGAAAGCCTACCGACCCAGAACTTCGTGAGGAGTTGAAGGAGGGTGCGTCGGATTTAAACCCCCCTTGATCGAAATCCAAGGGCCATTCCATTGACAGAAGTTTAGAAATCAAGCAAGAGCCGAACAAATCTGGCGGAGGGCAAGGACAATGGTCTGCTTGGAAGGCAAGTAGACAGCAGCTCCTACCCGAACACACACGGATATCCTATGAATAGAGACGTCCGCTTACGCTTGTCAAAGGCCTCGAAACTTGCCAAGGAGTACGAGAAGCAGGGAGGCGATTACGAGAATGAGCCCGGCTCCAAAAACGAGCCCAAGAAGGGCGAACCTGAGCAGAAGAGCGAGTCCAAGAAGAAGGCAGAGACTTAGCTGCATCTTAAGTCGAAGCGGACGATGAGTTGCGCCTCTCCCCACTGCTATATCATCAGTATCGGTAGTTCATCACGCATGGGCTTCATGTTTCTTGAATTCCTCGCATGTGATATCCACATTGCAATTTTCACACAGAGGCAGCGGCGATGTGCCCTTTGTTTCGTGTGAAACTCTGTCTCCGTCTGCCAGTCTATCATAATGCTGAAAAACAACTTGTCGTCAGTAAACAGTCGGGGTAGTGCAGTGGTTAGCACATCAGTCTCACAACATTAGTTGAGTCCACTGGGGGTCCTGGGTTCGAATCCCGGTCTCGACATACAAGTCATTTTGCTGTTTTTTTCCTCAAATCAATAAACACTTTCTGGTTGCTTCAAAATAACAACAAAAGTGTTGCTCGTTCATGGTAGCTGAGTTGTCGGAGCTAATGACTGTCAGGGGCCCCCTTTTCACGGCGATAGTGGCCAGTGCAGTGGTGTCCGGGGGTGGCGTTACCGGCTTGGCACTGTGGCTGGAGCTGGCCAGGGAGAGCTTCCCGCCGTGTCGTGTCAACTTCACCTGCAGTTAAACAACCATCGCATGAATCGCTACACGGCGACTTTCCACTTGCTCTTTCCCATGTAGTCTTTCCCTATCGTACCAGTTTCTTTTCGCCACCTCCCAGAACATGCAGCAGTCTCCGGCTTTGGTGCTCTTGGGCATCATAGCCCACCACGGGATTGTCAATGCAGCCTCGCTCCCGAGAGGTGTCGGTCCAGAATGTCGGTACTACCCCTGCATCATATACTCTCGCTTTCCCGTACCAAGCACCCCATGACTTCTTGACCGCTCTGCTCCCAGGCCCAAGATATTATCTCCTTCCTGTGGTGCTACCAGATGCATGCATGCGACCTCGTGCACACCATACTGACAAATTGGACCTCTTGTAGTTGTCAAGTTCTACGAGTTGAAGGACAAGTTCACATGCATAGGCCACCCCTCCGTGACCATCGCCGCCTCTCAGGTCAACGACAACACCTGCGACTGCCCCGACGGCTCTGACGAGCCTGGCACCGCTGCCTGCGCGCTACTAGACCACCTCTCACCCTCTCAGCCCCTGCCCGCATCTTGGTCCGGGTCCACCAACACGAGCAATGCCCTCCCGGGTTTTTGGTGCGAGAATAAGGGCCACCTTGGCACCTACGTCCCTTTCATGTACGTCAACGACGGTGTGTGCGACTACGACCTGTGCTGCGACGGCAGCGAAGAATACGGCCACGTCGGCGGAGTCAAATGCCCGAACAAGTGCGCCGAGATCGGCAAGGAGTGGAGGCGGGTTGAGAAGGAGCGCCTGGACAATCTCGAGCGCGCGAACAAGCGCCGGAGAACCATGGCCAAGGAGTCCAGGGAGCTCAGGCGGCAGGTCGAAGCTAAGATTACCGGCCTCGAGGGCGAGATCAAGGAGCTCGAGGCGAAGCGGGACGAGCTCAAGACCAAGCTGGACGAGGTCGAGCGGTCGGAGCGCGGCAAGGTGGTCAAGAGCGCGGGTCCCGGGAAACTCGGCGTGCTAGCCGGCCTGGCCAAGTCGAGAGTCAACGAGCTGCGCGACGCTCTGGGCGAGGTCCTGGGGGAACACAACCGCCTGCGCGACAGGGTGGCAGAGCTCGAGGGCGTCCTGTCCACCTTCAAGGAGGAGTACAACCCCAACTTCAACGACGAAGGTGTCAAGAAGGCCGTCAGGGCCTGGGAAGACTACGCAGCCAAGAAGGCCGACGACGCCCTGGAGGCGTTGAACGAGAACGACGTGCTCGAGATCATGAAGGAGGACAGCGCGAGCTCGGGCATCAACTTCAAGGAGTTTGAGGGCGACGAGGCCACCGACACAGATATTCGTATGCGCCCGCGACCCCCCGTCCCCCACACGTGATCATGTCGACTAACCCCATGTCAGTGTACAGCTTCGAGGCCTATCTGCCGGGGCCCATGCGAGACTTCCTCCACTCCAAGCTCATGTCGATGCGGGTGTGGCTGATCGAGAACGGCATGCTGGCGGACACGAACGCGGGCCAGGGCGAGTCGCAGCTGGTCAAGGCGGCGCGGGAGGCGCACGACGCGGCGGCCAAGGAGGCGACGGCCAAGGCCAAGGCGCTGGACGAGCACCGCGACGACCTGGCGCGCGACTACGGCGCCGACGACATCTTCCGGGCGCTCAAGGGCCGGTGCGTGTCGACCGAGGTGGGCGAGTACGAGTACGAGCTCTGCTGGCTGGACAAGACGCACCAGAAGAGCAAAAAAGGAGGGGGCCGGACGAGCCTGGGCACCTTCGCGCGCCTCGAGCACGCCGATGCCGACGAGGAGGAGCGCCACGACGGCCGCAGCCTGGGCCGCGGCCGCCGCGCGGTGCTGCGCTACGAGAACGGCCAGCACTGCTGGAACGGGCCGAACCGGCGCACCGACGTCTGGCTCGGCTGCGCCGAGGCCGAGGAGCTCTGGCGCGTCAGCGAGATGGAGAAGTGCGTCTACCGCATGGAGGTCGGCACGCCCGCCGCCTGCGAGGAGGTGGGGGACGCGGCCGCGGCCGCCGCCCAGCCGGCCCAGGCTAAGAAGGATGAGTTGTGATCGATAAGACGACAGATGGACGGACGGACGGACGGACGAACAGATAGAGCCGGGGGCGCAATGACTTCTAGACTCTTTCGAGATGGGACGGGCTTGGCCTATATGTACCTGTCTGTCATCATCATCACATGAATTGCCCAAGTAGGTGACTAGGCGCAAGAAGAGCGTATTGACGGCATCGCATTACAGTCGTCATCCGTCGTGGTATCGTTCGGTATTGTAAGTTTACAGAGAGGTTCCGAAGACCGGGTACATGTCACTCCTATCTGACTGCCCCCACCATCTTCCTCCGTTTATTCCGCTCCTCCTGCTCCGCCAGCACCTTGGCCGTCAGCGACGCGGTCATGGCGTTGTTGATGCGGCTCGAAATGTCGCCCCCCTGGTTGGAGTTTTTCTTCTTTGCCTTCTTCGCCTCCCCGTTGGCGGCGGCGGCGGCGGCCTTCCCGTCGTCCCCAGCCTCGGCCGCGGCCGCGACCGCCGCCGCCTTGCGCTTCTTCTTGCCGCCGGCGCCCTTGTCCTTCTTCAGGCTGTGCGTCAGCCCCAGCGCCCTCAGCTCCTCGATCCGCCGGCTGCACCTCTCCACGTCGGCCTCGTCGACGGGCAGGACGGGCACCACGTCGCGCGCCTCGAACGGCTCGCTGCACTCGGGGCATGCGCTTCGCTTCCCGGCTCCTTCCTCCTCCTCCTCCTTCTCCTCCTTCTTCTCCTTCTCCGCCGCCGTCTTCTTCTTCTTGTCGGCAGCAGTCCCGGCCACCTCGCGCATCGCGGCCTCGGCGAACACGTGCCCGCACGGCACCACGTAGACGGCGCGCGTCGCGGCGCCCAGCTCCTTGAGGCTCACGGGACAGGCGCGCACCACCTCCTCCCCGTTCCCGTTCGCTGTTGTTGTTGATGTTTCGGTCGTCTTCTTCTTCCTGCTGCCGTACTCCTCTCTGCCGCCGCGGCGCAGCGTGAAGAAGCGCAGGCGCACCACGTCGCGGAGGCTGCGCACGCCGCAGCGCGTCGACAGCTCCAACGCCAGTTGCTGCTGCTCCTCCGAGACCATCGCATCGGAGGAGGAGATGGAGGACTCGGCCTGGGTCGCCGCCGGCATCAGACACCGCAGCACCGTCTCGTAGTCGTACAGGCGGCCGCGGGCGTCGGACGCGGTGGTGGCGGCAGGGTCGAGCGGCGCGCCCGACAGCGCGCACGTCGACCAGGCGTGCGCGAGGCTCTCGAGCGCCGTCGCGCGCTGCTCCGACGAGGTCGGCGGCCGCGCCGCAGAGCGGACAAGCTCCCGCCGCTTCGGGATCGAGCCGCCGTCGTTGCCCATGGTTGGTGGGATTGGTGTTGGTGTTGGTGTTGGTGTGGCGTGGGAGGGACCCGGTGGGTGGGTGGATGGTCGGGGATGGGTGTGGTTTGCGCGGGAGGAGGGATAGAGAGGGAGGGAGGGACCGGCGGAAGGAAGGTAGGTACGCGAGTTGGTTTAGTCGTGGGTAGAATACGTAGGTAGTGGTATTTCTTGTACCAGGTATGTCTGATGGGTGAATGAGGATGTATAATAAGCTGGCCGGCTGGCTTGCCCTGTCGTCTGATTATTGTTGTCGTCGAACATGTTTAGAGAGGGCCACGGGCTAAGGATAAGATAAAGCTGGCCCCCACCAAGTAGAAGCTAAAACACAGTAAGCTTAAAAGCTAAACACCGTAAGAATGCAATTGCTTTGCGGGCTATAAGCAGCTGTGTCTGCCATGTCTTACAGTCTAAACGCGGATCCCCAGCACTGTCAAGTTACAGCCAGAACTGTGGCGCTGTCCTAGCGGCGCACTCTAAGTATCACATTGTATCTCCACCCATTCTCCAGCCGGCAACAGTACGAGAAAGCAACATAGGATTCCCATTCTGTGTCTCACCCGCCGGTGAGGTTCGACAGTCACGAGTGACAACAACTTGCCAGTGGCTCGGTCGACTGAAGGCAACCCTTACTGCCGGAGCAACGAAGCGTGGCCAACCACCCGACAAACCTAAAAAGCTGCTTACCCTCTACGTCTGCGCATTCTGCCCTCCTTTCACTTCTCCAGCGGCTTCTTGCGATCCAGCATCGCAAGCTGCCCTTGCACCCTTGATGCAGTTGCATCTTGTCTCCTGAAGCTGTCCGACGCGGCTCAGGGACCCCACGACCGTCGCAGATGGCGCAACAGCAGCAGCTGGCCCTCGAGGCCCTCGACAGGTTTACGAAGGAACTCAAGTCCAGGTGAGCCGCTCTCTCTTCTCTGCGCCCCCTGCGATCCGACAACCTGGGGAAGCGCTGACCTTGAGGACTCCTTACTAGGGCATCCGACGAGCACAAGAAGCGAGCAGCCAACGACCTGAGAGACTTGGTGGCCACTTGCTACCGAGGTGCGCATCCGCTCCCCTTCTCCCTTCGACTGTTTTGACGCTGGCTCTCGACTACCGTCCACCCGACCCTCGAGCTCGACCAGAACCCGCTGACTGTGCGACCTGTGACAGACTTCCAGAGCGAGCAATTCAACGTCTTCTATAATTCCGTAAACAACAAGATCACCAACCTCATAATCCATGGCAATGACTCCTTTGAACGACTTGGCGGGGTGTTTGCCCTTGATGCCCTGGTTGATTTCGACGGCGTTGATGTTACCGCCAAATACACCCGCTTCACCGCGAGCCTCAAGTTCATCCTGCGAGGCAAGGATATCGTCCCCATGCAACACGCTGCCGGAACC